TTTAAGGTAAATTTCCTGGCACAGAGGATGAAATGGCTACTGAAAGCCCATTGATATACCAGGAAACTGGACCCAAAATTGTCAATTGATAGATTTATTAACTAAAATGGTTCTGCAATAAGATAAGACACTTGACCTTCTTTATGCAGAACCAAAGAGGCATTATATGGCCATAAAAATTATTATTTCTTTATAAATCATTCAGGATTATAATCTAGCTATACTCAAAGATCATAACTACAGGGCCTTATAATGGTAATAGATGCAGATATTGCTGCCAATGGCTTAAAAAAGTCTCTCCTTATCTAAGGTCTATTCATGCTTAAGAATGTAAGCCTCCTTGTCCTTACTAATTTCATTAAGCTGTAACTAATTGGGAAAACTCTATATCCATATTTAACTTATATATGCTCTCAAAGTTAATTTAGATATACCTAACATATTTTGTTCCCCTGGTTCTCAAACACCTTTAGAGATCCGAGAATATGGAATTTAATATAAAAGCTTTTTATGATAGAGAGACATGTCAGCTCCTGGCAGCATCCTGTATCTTCTCCAAGAAGATGGATGGCTGCAGAACTTCCACCTGGAGGCTTATGGCAAGGTCAGCCATGAAGCGAAAAGCTGCCTTGGACTGCTGGTGAGATCCTGTCCAGACTATGAAAAGGCAGAGCAATGGGGGATTGATTGCCCCATGCTGCTAAGTCAAGGTGGTTCAGTCTCTCCAAATTCCTACTCCACAAAAAATTCTGTCAGATCTTCTGGGCCTAGCAGCTAGCTAAAGGCAAATACTGCTTCTGAGACTTGTGTACCCCAATGACCACGGAGAGACTTGGGATTGCTGCCTAAGTATCTGGAAAACTGCCTCACTCTGCTTATTAACTTATCCTTCTCAGATCTGATGGTGTTTGATTACCAGATATTAATAGATTTGCCAATTTTACAGCTCTCTGCCAAACCCCAAAGCACCCTGGTAACTCATTAGTTAAGTTTCCTATTAAAAGTACAGACAGGCATGCCTCATTCATAGACTTCATGGCACAGGATAAACTGGTTCCAGATATAACTTTGGAGGTTCAAGATTTTAGCATTGATAAATGTAATTTTGATAAACCAATAGAGCATTGACTACAAGAGTTCTTAGGAGTCCTTAAATTTATATGAATTTTTAACCCTTTTGCTATGACACCAAGATATAAATCTGTTCCAGCTATCTTACAGATACCTGCAGGTTTCTGGGAACTGTATCAAGAAATCTGGTCTGATGAAAACTAACAGTCTCCAGAGCCCATTTTGAGCCCACTCCTTTTCCAGCATATTTTGCAGTTTCACTCCTCCTGCCAGACTCATGCCAAGGCCAATCCACAGGGGGTCCTCCAGATACACCAGCCCCTGCACCAGCTCCAAGGATGCCAACCACCAACAGAGGATGCCAACCGGGCAAATACTGGCAGGTTGATTTCACCCACATCCCTACTCATAAAACGACTCTGTATCTCTTAACTCTTACTGACACCTTTACAGGATAGATGCACCCCCACCTCCAGAGAAACAGCAAGCGTGATGGCTCCTGCACTCCTAAAGAACACCTCATCCCTCAATTCATTGCTGGTACCACCCCTCCAGGCTCAAGTGGGCACCTACCCAGCAACCAGAACTTGGTTGCAAGATGTCCCAATAAGGGCGCATAACCACCCTTGTGTCTCACTCATTCACCCTCGCCTCTTCTGTACAACCAGGGTACTTCTCTGTTCCATTCTTTCTGGCAGTTATCACTTTTCCCATGACTAGACCTGATGGCCCATGATAACAATCTACTTTTTTCTCCTATCAACCGGCCTTCTCAGCTCCCTCAAGGAACAGACACCCGAGGACTCCATGATGACAGCCACCTGAATGCTTCTTCACTCACACCTCCTACCATATGTGACTCTGACTCCCAACTTCCTCCTCCCACTTCGCCCCTTGTCAGTAGGAAGCAGTCTAAAGAATCAGTGCCCATATTCCTTCACTTGCTACCCATAACTCGCCTTTTTATAATAATCAAAATGGAGGAATGTTAGCATTCTGGACCACCCCTTGGGGCGGCCCAGCCTCCTGACGTCATTTTATGTAAAAGCTTCCTTTAAAAAAAAACCCTCCCTTCTTCTTCCTCTTTTCCTTCCTCCCTCTCACCATGAGGTATGCACACCTCCGCTTTCCCTCTTTCCCTCCCTTTCTCTTTCTCTCTCTTTCCTTCTCTTTCTCTCTCTCTCCATCCTCTACTCTCTCTACCCTCTCCCCAAAATAAACTCTCCACGTGGATGCTGTGCCTGTATGGTGTGAGTAACTTCCCACTGTTATACCACCCACTGCTGCATCTGTGTGGTGTGTCTCCCTCACCTGTGGGGCACCTTGGCCCAACTGCCAAGGCCTCCTGCATGCTGCATCATTACAGTAAGTATGTCCCAAATACCACACAAGACACAATTACAAAAAATACGTTTACTATATACTTATACTGAATATTTATTCAATATTTGAAGTTCAAATTTGACTGCACGACTTGGTTTTTGTTTTGTTTTTGTTAAGTTTAGCAACTTCTAATTAAGAGACCATTGAAAGGTTTCAATGGGCAAGTGGTATGGCCCAGTTTGTATTTTAAGAAGACCCCTTGGGTGGTTTTGTCGAGAATGATTTGAAGGCTAGCAAGAATCAACCAGAGGCTGAAGTCCAGGAAAGCAAGTTGGGCTCAGAGGGTGGTTCAGTGGAGGTGGCGGGTTGGGGTGGAATGTCCAGTGCCTTGCAAACCTTGACATGAGAAGAGCCATCTAGGAGGTTACAATCAGGAGCTCTGGTGTGGCTCCTGAGATTCTGAATTTCTAATAAGCTCCTTGGTGGCCTATTAAGGACCTAGGTGGTGCCGACCTAGAGCCAGCAAGCTCCTAGAAATAACTACGGCCCCAGGACCACATTAGGCCTCATCCCTGTTTTTGTAAATAAAGCTTTATTGGAACACATTCATCTGCTTCAGCATCACCTCTAGTTGCTCTCATGCTACCACAGAGTCGAATAGCTGCAACAGGGACTATTAGTCCACACTGTCTAAAATATTTATATGTGGTTCTTTATAGAAAACCTTGCCTGCCTAGACTATACTTTGGGTAATAAGGGTCAAGACTTGGGAGACAGCCAGGAAGGTAAAAGGCAGATAAACACCCAGACCAGCTGAAGATATGGTGGTTGGGGGATGGTCCACCCTGGCTTACCTAGCCTTTCCCTCTGCTGGGAGCTAGGCCCCTGAACTTCATTCTTTAAAATCAAGTGCGTTTGTCAGTTGTCATTGTTGATTTATCTTAGAAGTTCTTGGCCCAAGGGGCTCTACTTGGTACCTGCTTAAAAGTATAGAAATGTTTCTTCACAAACAGGAAGGTATAGATATAATTAGATAGTGTCGGGTAGCCTAAAGAAACTGTCTTGCCAGTAGGTAGATGATGATGTTGACTCCTGCTTGTAGGCACTCCTGGCTAGCTGTCCACCTTTCCCCCATTGCATCCCCGCTTTGAATTACCTCAGTAATTTCCAGCAGGAGACACCAAAGCCAAGACCTGCCGGGCCTTCTGCCTGCTCCACAGCTGGTAAGAAGTCACTCCCCTCCCAACACCACCTCTAGCCCTCAGAGGGTACACCTGTGCTTGTCTGTGAGGGAAATCACTTCAGAACAAAATGGAAAGGTAGGAGAGAGGAAGCCCAAATGGAATCCTGTAAGAGTTGTCATTTTGACAATCCTCTCAGCAAAAGCACAAAGAGTATATAGACCTTGTGTAGTAGTGACTGTGTGGAAAGAGCTAAGCTAAAATGACTAGAAGGACCCTTCCGGGTGTTAAAAGCTATGGATTTCAGGAAAGTGCTTTGAGTATTTTAGCTTTTTTAGGCCATTTCCTGCTGTAACATCTTTAATGTTAAACGATGTCAAAAGATGCCCAGTAGTAGGTTAATGTTAACAAGTTCACTGCAGTTGCCACAGAGCAAAGTTTACTACTCCTGGAACCCACTAGGCTGTCTTCCGAGGAAGAAGAAACCGTTTTCTAGTCAGAGTCCATGCAGCTCAGTAGCGTTGCAAATATTATGATACACATTTTTATTAAATGCACTGCTGTACTGCTTTTCCCCGTCCGAGGAATTGTGTAACAGTAACAGCTGTGTGTAATAATAGACTGACCCGTTCTACTTAGAAAGCTGACGGTTTTGTTTGTTTGTTTGTTTGTTTCTGGGGTGGTGGTGGTCAGGCTAGAACAGGATATGTGAAGAGGAACAAATTCTGCAATTGCTAGTTGCTTTCGCTCCCAGGGAATCTGCATTTCAAATCACTCCACCAGGATCGTCTGCTTTGTAAAGCAGCCCTCCCTTGGAATCCCAGGATTTATGTTAGACTCCAAATAGTCCTTTCCCTTTAGAATTAGTCAAGGGCAAGTTTGGATCTCCAAATCAAAATAGGGTATTCCTTCACACTTGCCCCCTCTTCTCTGAAATCTAGTCAGTTTCATTCTTTGTGTCGGGGTGGGGGTGTTAGCCCTCCAGCAAAGGGTTAAAAACTGTGCTCTCAAGAAGCATCCCCCCCAACACCACATTGTACATTTCAACAAACCGTTTAAATGTCTTACCACAGTGATCGCTGCAAAGCAACAGACAGAAAAGCAGACAAAAGAGAAAGCTTCCTTGGGGTAGGGGTGCCTCTGAGGTGAGTAGAAAGAAACCCAGCTAGGGCCTGGGCTTTTGTTGTCTGAAATAAGACTGGAATTGGAAGCCTCAAGGATCTGGTCTGCGGCACGGCCCCGGAAGCTTTCTACGGGCTGTGTTCTGGAGAGGAGAAATCATTAAAGGGCTTCTTCACACATCTATTTGCATGAATTAGCAAACCCAGGAGAGCTTCTGAAATGCATTTGGAGCCCTGACCTGACGTGAAGGTCACATAGATGTCCCCAGAAGTGTACGCCTCCTGAGAAGTTACATTAACAAACCTTTCCAGCCAGTGTTGAAAGATCCTCGCCTCCTATGATCTGCATCTCACCCATGGACTGGTCGTTCTGCAGACATCGGGAAGCGGGGAAGGAGAGGAGGACAGTGACGTTAGTGCACAAGGAAATCTTAAAAGCACATTTTCCCCCACCTCCTTGGTTAACGGCTAGTTTGCGCCTGGCAAACACAGCGCAGGAGCTAGCGCCCAGAGCTAGCGAGGGCTTTGCGGTTGCCTATGGTTACCAAGAGCCACTTTCCTGCAGGCTCTTGAGACAAAGCCAGCTAATGACTGGCTGGCGGGGAAAGACTGTGGGGGTGGTGGTGGTGGGGGTGGACAGCTGAAGAGAGGATGGACAGACTTAATATGCCAGCGACGGTACCTGTCCTGAGGCAGACAAACGAGAAAGACAGTCACTTGTGCACTTTCCTGGGAGGAGGGGGTTGGGGAGCGCCAAAGTGACTTCCAATGAGCCCTAGCTGTGTGATGCAATGGAGAACAACCCAATTCTGATTTCACAGGAAATGGAGCCCTCATCTAGTCTCTGTCGTTGGAAATTCAGTCCCTCATCGGATGACAAGAGCAATTGCTGCAGACCGTGGGCTCAAGGAGGATTTGTTCTTCTGACAGGAGCCCTCCAACTTCAGGACCCTTCTGGAGCTCCAAGAATATGTGAACCGGGCAGATTTTGTTTTTTGTTTTAAAATTCAGATCTTCTAAGAGTGAGTTTATCATTCATTTTTTCCCCAATGTTTAAATATCGAACATTCCTGTGTCCTAAGAAAACTTCAAAGAGCAAGCAAGCACACAAACAAACCAGCAAACACTCATTTGTTTATTTTTTTTGAAGTGTACCCCACGAGAATCACTTGGGGAAGAATTAAAATGGAACTTGCCCTCTGCTTCTGCCTCTGCCTCATGACAGACGCATATCAGAGGAACTGAAGCAGCCAGACCCAGCCAGTCTGCTTCGTGGCCAAAACGAGAGTGCAGTGATGTTGCAATGCCTCGATACAGATGATAAACTTGAGGAGACAATTATATGTGCGCCGTGCTGAAGCAGGAGATGTCCTCTGTCACGGGTGCAGACAGCTATTCCATTTGTTAGTCTAGCAGTCTCATCCCTTGTCTTGAAAAGGATTTCCCTCATTCTGGAAGAGTGCATCCCATAGGGTCAGGCAGGGCCGGGCTTAGCGGTGTGGAGAAAACAGCTCTGCTGGAGGAGCCTGCCAGCCCAGAGTTTCCGGCAGCTCAAGCCACTTACTTCCTGGAGGCATTTTCTTGAGCTGGCTTGAGTTGGATTCTGCTGCCTACAGGTAGCAATCTCTGTCGGGATATAGAGTTACTTTGTCAGGGGATTGGTTGTCTGGGAAAGGAAAAAAAAAATAGCCCAAACACCAATATGACCATTCTGCCAGTGAAGTACCTTTGTCTGACCCGAAAGGGTAGAAAAAAGGATCAAAAGTGGAGAGAACGAGAGATCTTAAAAATGTTCACTTCTGAGCCAGGCGGTGGTGGCACACGCCTTTAATCCCAGCACTCAGAGGGGGCAGAGGCAGGCTGATCTCTGTGAGTTCAAGGCCAGCCTGGTCTACAATAGCCAGAGCTACACAGTCAGACCCTGTCTCAAAAGAACCAAAATAAATAAAAGGTTCACTTCTACTTGCTAAAGCATTTCCCCTTAGTGCAGCATTGGAGGGAGCATCTGAATGCAAACCGTTAAATTAGATAATATTAACAGTCTGATCCTTGAAAGAGAAGAATCACCGAATACCCAGAATTCTAGGCTTTTTTTGTATCGGTGATCCATTCATATTCACAGGCAGTTACTGATGATTTTTAGTGGCGCTCTTACCCTGCAAGGAAAAGTCACAAAACACGACAGAATCCACTAACAAGAGTTTTATTAAGACAAGGAGAAAAGGATAGACGTGATCAGGCCTGCTGAAAGGACACGTGTGTGAAGGGGGCGGGGAAACATGGGGGCTGTCTTTTAGAGGCCAAGCCGCACCTGTGCACACATGCCCACGTGGCTATTCCACGCATGCGCATACATCACGTGGTTGTGCAGTGCACTTTGCACAATCACACAACCACGGGATCATGGGTTACACAGGATGTATGACCCTGAAATGACTAAGCAGAAATGACTAAGTGTCCCGCCTGGCATGCAGGACCATGGGGGGCATGGTTGGAATTCCTATCAGTTACGATGGTGGTGGCTAAGAACTTGCAACAAAATATCAAAGGAGGGCTGGAGAGTCGGCTCAGTGGTTAATTGCTTTTGCTACACTCAGAGAGGACCCAAGTTCTGTTCTCAGACCACACATCCAGAAGCTCACATGAGCAGTTCCAGGGCATCCGACACCCTCTTGTGGCCTCCGGGGCACTTGCACTCATGTGGCATGCATAGATACATCTATACATAAACCAAAATCTTGAATCTTTAAAAAGTGTCAAGGTAGAATGCTTTCTTATCGATCCCAGGGACACTGAGATAAAGGACTCAACATGGGACGATCTGTATATTAGAGTCAGCTGTGCTGTGACCAGCTTCAGGAAAACACGTTTTCAGGTCAGGGAAATCATAGCTGGACAAAACCACAAGCCACAAGGCACCACGTAACAAGTGAGATTTGGGCTAACGGGTAAGAGTACATTTTGAAATAATTCTGTTATTACACCTACTCTGTTGAATGTTCAACTCTATCCTACTGGTTTTATATTTGTTTGCTAAAAACACAACAACAACAACAAAACCATGGACCTTTGGAAAACTAAATATTGTACTCAAAGTCACACAGCATGCTGCCAAGCGAGTCTCATTTACAAAGACCTTTCTTAATCCAAGTTTCTAAACATGTTTTTAATATTAGATTTGTCCTTAACCCATCTGGAAGTTATATCTTCCAAGTGTGTATATAGTCAATTATCCCAACACCCTTTACTGAATTATTATTTTCCCCTATGGGCTAGAAATGCCCATTGTTAAAAATAATATTTTTTATTCTCATGTAAAAGGGTCAGTTTCTGTATTTTTCCAACCTAACATGGCTGTTCTAGTATGAAGTAATCTGATATGCTCAATTAATTAATTTGACTTACCAAGTAGTTATAAGCAGGAAATAATGCATTAAACTTTCCTAATAAACTTTTATTCTTATAATGTTCATGGTTTTTAAGTATGTCTTAATATCTAGTGGGGTCTTTGTTTTCTTTTTCTTTTTGTTTCACGTCTTGGCTGTTTTTGTTCTTGCTCCTTCTCCTTCCGGTGGGTGGGTTGTTTTGAAGATCAAATGAGTTGACTGGTGTGGAACACTGGGAACAGAGAGCAGCACATGGCCAGCCTTTGGTCCACCAGACACCTACAGTTACTGTTTAGATTGCAAGCACTCCCGCACCACCACCATGCTGACAGCTTTGTCTCCAGCTTGGTGGTCCTGGGAGGTGGTAGCACCTTTAAGAGATGGTGCTTAGCAGAAGAAGAACGTGTCACTGGGGGCTTGAAAGTGATACTGGCACTCTGACCACCTCCCCACTCCATCTCATTTCCTGGACCCAGGGTCAGTGAGTGGCATTGTTACCATGCTCCCTCCATCATGTGAGGCCTCAGCACAGGTCCAAAAGCAATGGGACCAATCAATTGTGGACTGAACCCTCTAAACCTTGAGTCCAAACAAGCCTTTCTGTTTGTAAGTTGGTTATTTCAGGTATTCGTTACAATGGTAGAAAGCCGTTAACAACTTAACTTCATGATCATTATCTCCCTTGTAATCTATTAGGAAATGGCCTCTTCCTAGGCCCACGAGGGTCTGCAGCTACCCTGGTTTAGGGACTATAAAAATAAGGGAGTTTTCCATTTTATTTTATTTTATTATTTTCTTTTTTGTCTCCTTCTGAGATAGAAAAGGGAACCAAGAGATCCAGTTCTCCATCTGTAAGCTTTCGACCAACCTTGGAGCTTTCATTCCATTCAGCCCTTACTCCCGTTTTTTTTAAGAAGGTGGTGACAGACTCCTGAGTCTTTCCGGGAACTCGATGGGGGGCTCCTCTCAGCTCCTCCCCTGTTGCTGACTGTAGGCATTCAGCTGGTCACTTTCTCCAGTCTGCAGTGCCCGTGATCTCCATCAACCTGTCCGCTTCCTAGAACTTAAATGCTGACTTCCCCCACCCATGGAGGACTTCTCTCTCTCCTTTCAGTCCTCTGGGGCAAACATTTGATCTCTTTGATCTCATTCTCTTGGAGTTGGAAAAATCTCCTGGTCAAAAGAATAGAATCTCTGGCCTGAGTGGAGACCTAGCATTCCAATCAGCCAGGTCATTCACTTGGCTAAGGGACCACACCTAGGAAGGTGAGCTCAATGGGTAGAATAATGAGTACTTTAACGAGAGGTTGTGTTTTCTTTCCTAGTATCCCCACCCCTAGTACAATAGCTTGCAAGACCACAGCTCTACAGCCTGTAAGTCTTCTCTTCCCTAAGCATGCATTCACTAACGCGTTGTTTCCCACGATTTGGTCGTCCGTCCTTATCTTCCTCCAAAGCCTTCCCCTCTGCCACATGGCTGCTTCTCAAGCCGTGCATCTGACCCCCATGCCTGCATAAGCAGCATGGCCTCTTTTCTCCTTCTCCATCCTCTTCCTCCAGGCAGCAGCTGAAGTTTTCTTATAAACTCTAACAAAATTCTTGGAATTCTGCTTGGGTCTGTTCTTCAGTTCTTTTATTAATAAGACCAAGAACCCAAATAGGGGGCCATAATTTCCCCTGTATTAGTTCTAGCAAGGCTTCAGGAAGGGATAAAGTTAATTGTATATATCCAGTCCACTGTCTTTAACCATGATCTATAGCTAATGGTTCCCAACTGTCATATGCAAACTATTATACGGAACTAGGGGTGGTGTTTGTTTTAAACTTAAGGTTACTCATCAGTACTTCACCTGACTGGGTTGGTGTGTTCTGTTGCTCGATCTTTAAAGCAGAGCTGTGCTAGCCTCATAAAATAAGCTAGGTGGTTCCTTCTCCACCCCACATAATTTAGAAGTTTTTTTTTTGAATGAATGGGTTGATCTGT